CTTTTTAAATTATGGTCGCCAACCACAATTAGTGAAAAGTTTGCGAAGAGAGGTGGAAAAAAGAATATTAGTAGATAAAATTGAGCCGGAAGTTTGGTTAGATAGATTAAAAAGATTAGATGCGTTGCGGGATTTGGTTGCGCGTTTCATCGATAAAGAAAGAGAAAAGCAAACGCTGCACTATAATCGCAATAAACGAGTAGCAATGTTCAGCGTTGGCGATAAAGTTCTTTGGCGAGTTAATAAATTATCAAATGCGGCTCAGAAATTTTCTGCGAAATTGGCACCTAAGTATGATGGCTCTTACGAAATTAGTAAAAAATTGTCGGATAATGTTTACGAGTTAAAAACCGATAATAATCGTAGGGTGAATAAAGTGCATGTGTCTAATTTGAAACGTTTTGTGCCTCCTCGTTGTTGAGAGAATGATGAAAACGTATTTATTTATTTGTTTTGTGTGTTTTGTTATTGTCATTACAGCTCAACTAATAGTGGATTGATGCCCAGTCATTCTGGACGATCAGCGACTCAGAAGAGTGAGGAGAGGCGACCAAGAATCCGCAGTGTAGTGATCAAAAGGCGTGCAGGTGAGACCATGTGGCGTTCGTCTTGCGGTAGAAGGAGGGCGGCGCCGAAGAGTACTAGGAGAAGCAGGGCGACGTTATCCGATTTTCCTGAAGGGGCAGATCCCCCAACGAGAGACCCCATCTCGGTTTGGATCCAGCGAGCTCTGACGGAGAGGTCGGATACTTCCCCCCGGGTTGTGTCGGGATTGGAGATTGTGCGAGAAGAGGCGGCGGATTCTGTATCTAGGCCTTCTGCATTACCAGTGACTCCAACTCCGCATAAGAAATTGGGGGCAATTTCTAAAATTAATGGTCAGCGTCGTGTGAGTCAGGAGAGGAGAGTAGTGGTCAGAGAGGAGGTTGCGGCAATGAGTCTTGAGGAGAGAGAGAGTAGGGAGGCCGAGAGGGATTTAGAAGAGACCATACGTACAACGGAGAGGAGAGAGCGGCGAGAGTTAGATCGACTGAGAGAGAGACAGCGAGCAGAAATGTCCAAGCGCAATACCAGTCCCCTCTCCAGTTGGGACTACGTCACTAGCACGGCTCGGCAGAGTGAGGAGGAGAAGAGCCCGAGTAAAGTTCGCCAGACGGACGAAGCTCGGCAATTGCCTCGACACCCCCCTCCTCCTACGTACCGTTCCCCTTTAGAGGGATTGCATGACTCTCCTCCCCGATCAGCGACGAGAGGTCGGAACTACGATCAGCGCCCGCGTCCACCTTTACCTATTCGGCTCACGGGGCGCATGTTTTCGGGCCTCGACCCCATCCCTACGGATGAGAACCTTGACCCTCCTTTGGACGCATGTTTCAATTGTTGGGCTTTTGGTCATGGTTTGCGGAAGTGTCCTAAACCCATGGGCACATTCTGTAAGAATTGTGGAAGGAAGGATGTCATTTTGACTAATTGCCCAAGATGTGCGAGGGTGAATCAACTTCGTATGGAGCAACGTTTCGAAGCGAACCAGTATGCGGATTTCCGTGGTCAGAGGGAGAAGTATTATCATCTTCTCCATCGACAAAAGGTCAGCGCTGCACAGTCAGTGCCCAAATTGATAGAGATAGCGGTATCATCCTCTAGTGCTGTTCCCTCTGACCCCTCCAGTTTTCGGTCAGCGTCATCAGTGGAATTCAGTGAGGAACCGGGAGCTTCTGTTCCAGTTCCAACCTTGGGAAAAATTAGTGTGGTGGAGGAATTAGGGCGTTTGGAACGCCTGGTAGCTGATTTGCCCCCGGAAATGGCAAGAGAAATTAAAATTCGTTTTTGGGAGGATTTGAAGAAGAGGGAACAGTAGATGGGAGATAAAATATAGTTTTTTTTCCCTTTCTTCTCTTCTCAGAATTCTCTAAGAATTATTAATTTATAATTCTTAAGTTTGGCAAGGTTGCCCTTTTTGTTTTTTTTTTGAGAATTTATTTTGTTTATTTTCTTCCACTACCAATGATAATTTGTTTAATTTTTGTTTTAATGAGCTATGAATAAAGTTGAGTTAATACTTTATTTATTGTAATTTTGTTTCTTTATTATTAATAGTTTTTTTTATTGGCAATGTTAACGGGGTTAACATCGGCCTAGTGGGGGAGATTGTAACGAAGTGAATCGTTACGAGATATTTGAAATAGAGTTCAGCGTGTTTGTGTGTTTGTAGTTGCTTTTTCCGTTAACAAGTTGGTTGTCGTTTTGTATGGAAACGTCGTTATTTTTCTTTTCGTTTCTTTCGTTCAGCGAGGTGACTCTCGTCAAGGTTTCTATCAAATGCCTTTGCGCATGATTGATAGCTTCGGAGAGTCACATGGTCAGCGGCCCTTTCCTAATTTCTTTAGATTTTGCATTGGAAGGAGATGACAAGGAGAGCGCAATTTAGGACTAATTGGGAATGAGAGAGAAGGATGTTTTTCGTACGTTTCGCACCGGCTTCTTGGAGGACAGCATCGTTTTTGGTTTCTCAGTGTTTTTCGAAGCGAGTTGTGAGCGAGTCGCGTTTTTGAATCTTGAGTAAGAGAGCGAGTATTGAGAAATTGAGAAACGTTTAGTTAATTAATCTTAATAATTGTATTGATTTATTAGTTGTAAATTTATTTAGTCAAGAGTTCGTTTTGAATTAATAAATAGTTTATTTATTGTTCTTTAATTTGTGTGTTCTTTCTGGTCTGCGTTTTTGCCTTTTTCCCGCCAAGCTACGAGTGGAGCGTCAATTCAACGAGTAAGTAACGGTTCAATTTTGAAAAGAAAACAAGATCGAAGGTCGCTGCACCGCGATGTGATCTTCTCAGCGGGATTCCCCTTTTAATGAGTAAATTGTTTCATTTGTAAAGAGTTAAGTGGATTATTTGGTGTTCAGCGTTTAAAGTATTGCATTTAGGGGAAAACGGTGCAAATTGATTATTTAGAGTTTTCCGAATTTTTAATTGAATTTCTTCTTTACAGAGCAAACAACGAACACCTGGTCTCTTCTGCTAGCTCGGAACAGATATAATTACTCCTATAAAGATATCAAATAATGTACTTAGATTTCTCGATGGAGTTGGAATAATTGTCTCTGCGGGGAAAGGTAATTTGCAGTCTCTGTCAGTTTATGCCCCAACTGCCATAGCGTCTTCAATTTAGAAAAAACTTATATTCATGTAATTGTACCAATTATAATGTGTGGAGACTTCAATGCTCATTCTTGGGCTTGGGGCTATTTTGCCTAAAATTTCTTCTGGTAACGATTTTTCAATTGGTAAGTTTAATGTTGCATTAAATTCATGCAAGAAAGATTCTTTTCCGGGAATAGGTCCCTATTCTTAAAAAACTACCTCCGACAGCAAGTGATTTTATGTGAAAAATGTTTAATAAATTTGTCTGGAATCCATTTTTCCAGCGGTATGAAGAAATACTAGATTGGTGTTCATTCCAAAACAAAACGGTAAAGGATATAAACCAATCTCACTCACATCAGTGGTTTGTAAATTATTTGAAACTATAATTTATAAAAGGCTCAAACATTATGTTGAAACTGAAAAAGGTATTCCTGATTTCCAATACGGCTTTCGTAGAGGTCGCTCTACTACTGATTGTGTGGGGAATACTTTCCTTTCCCCCCAAATCTTGAAAGCATGGGGTGACACGAGCCTTAGCAATCGTTGCTAGGTAGACTAGGCATGCGTAAAAAGACTTTTGGAGTAACTCAGTTTTGCGTTGACTGGTACACACTTAACATCTATATATACTGATGTTGTATATAAATTGTTTATCGAAGTATAAAATAAATAATAATATGTTGAGTTTATAAATATTAAGTCAAAGTTATTTCTGGTGTACATACATAAATTATTAATTATAGTTTGGGGGACCGTAATTATTATCTATAACTAACAAATCCATACAATTGCGTTTTGGTATTGACAAATGATGTTCATCAGGGTTTTGCTATGAATGCGGACACAATTATACTGGCGATCGACCTGAAGGGTGCTTTCAGTAACATTACGCCTCTCTCGATTTTTAAACGAATGATGGAATTGCAAGTTCCTTATAGGTAAACAAATTTTTTTTCTTTTTTCACTGTATCAAAGAATTTGTTTTTTTCATCCGATAGCTCTGACTACATGACTTCTTATATTGGAGTTCCTCAGGGTGACGTTTTGTCGCCTTTGCGGTTGAGAGTAACAGTTGAGTTATTGATTCCTTGGCTTGAATCGGTGGGACTTTCAATTTCTCCTAATAAATCACAAATGATAGTCTTCTCTAGGATGAGACAAAAATCCACTCAGCTTCTCTTCATGGTTCAAGGGGTTTGGATCAAGGTTCAGAATAGTCTCGAGTATCTTGGAATTAAATTAGATAGGAAACTACTATGGCATCTTCATATTAACGAGATTTTGCAGAAAGCCACAAGAGCAATAAATATATTAAAAGCGATGTTCAAGATCATTAATAATGATCAAAGTAAAACATTGCAACTTGCTCAAAAACATCAGAGAGAATTCCAGAGGAAAGTTAGAGAGGCTGGAAGCAGAACTTTCATCAGAGAAGTGTTATTAGTCTTCGGTCGTCATCTTTGCTTTAAGGGGACAGAGGACATTGGAATTGATAATTTTATTACTCTAACGCGAGATTGGGTTGCTTAAATAGTTTTGATGGAGAAAATTTTGAAAATATAGAGTTGAATGAGACGAGGAATTCACAGAACAGTAAAGTAACAAGACGGGGAAGGCGGCTCACCCTTGCCATAGAGACGTCGGGATTTGTTTTGTGTAACGGTTGCTCGCTCTCAGATACATCTGCTAATTTTACATTTGTTTCAAAAACAGGTTGTCCTGTGATAAATTTAGTGTGGTTATATTCATTAGATAAAATGTCGCTAATACATGTAAAATATCTTACAAAGGAGGGAACAGTTTTTTTTTATAAAAATTTTCTAAAATTTGTACTGTTTTTATTTTCTTACTTACAGGCACAGAATAAGTGTCGTCTATTTGAAATTCCGCGGGTTCATCGTCACGGCTGGTTATCCTTGCAGACAGTAGATTTAAGAACATTTTCAATAGGTCCAAATTGTCTCCATTAACATTTGAGATTTGAAATATAGGGCACAGTCTGTCAAATAATAAAAGTAAATTCTATATTCTACATGTTTTATATTATTTAATTTAAAAAATATGTATGATTTTTATTAAAAAGGATTAATTTAAATAATAAGTGAAAACAACAATGTATTCTTAAATTGATGTATAAGTAAAATATAATAAAAAATGAAGTAAAAAATAACCTTTCAGAAACAAAGTTCATAGCACTGACAACAACATCATCTGCGGTTTTTACAGTTACTGGAACTTTTCTGCAGCCAGGAGATTTCAATATTCTGACAAGGAGTTTTAAATTTTCTTGAAGAACATTAAAGGGGCACATGTCAATTTTAGTCACAACTACGAAGACTGGTACAGACAATGCTAAAGCTAATCCTAAATGTTCCTTGGTCATGCCAACAATACCAGCATTTGCTCCAACCATAAGCATACCTGAAATGAGCATAAGAATATTTAGTTATAAATCATATCCCAACAAATTTTTTATTTACTTTACTTATACGATTGCAGTACACTTTTCCAAACTTAAGTTTTTTTGGAGACAATGTGATATTGTATACAATTCATAAAAATTTAAACTTTAATAGATTTTGTATTTAAAATTTTTTAAAATGTTCATTTAGTCCATCTAATCTTATGTTTGTTAAGTTGAAAGATAAATAAACAACTCCTTGGAGTAAATATTGGGCGTAACTCAAGTTTAAATAGTGTTCCATTATTATAGTATTTGCTCAGAGTTAATTGAACGTTTTCAAACACAAGTATGTTACTTTTACTTTATTGTTTTTAAACTAAATAAAGTATTAACCAATATAATACATAAAATAGTGTAATAATACTTCTAATAAATTATGCAGATTATATTATAAATAAATTCTTTTTTTCATCTTCAATCCACCCTTCCCTGTTGAGGGAGGATAAAACCATGGAGAATAAAACTCCATACCTCAACAATATTGGCTGCGCCCGCCCTGTTGGTCGCCTGTTGGGACTATGGGAATTATATTTAAAAAAACGCTATAATAGGGATAAGTCTGAACAAGCAGAGGTTAATGTAGATATTTAGGACTCATTTAGAATATTGCTAGATTAAGATATTAACATTTATCGCGTGGTTTTCAAGTTCAAAGTAGTACATACCAAAATCGGGTACATGGCCAGTCATCCCAAATACAGTTGTTTTTAAATAACGTTCATGTCCAGCTAGATCAATAAACGTTATCACTTTAGAAGACTTTTCACAAATTTTCGCCCAATCCAAAGAGCCATGTTCTGCTTTGTTAACAACGTTACCTAAAATAATTAACATAATTTTAAATATACAAAGGTCCCTTGGTTTAATTACAATTGATTATAAGCTACTAAAAAAGGTACTTTTCAAGTGTAACTCGTACAAAAGTTAATAAATTATTTTGATATTCTCCAAAAATATACTTCTCGTGACCCTTTATAAGTGTGCTAAAACTGGGTCAGATTGAATAGTTTATGAAAGATTGTATTTGTTAACTAATTACATGTTTTTTTCAAATGGAATTTCTACTTTTTTGATCGGATGAAATTAATTTTTTGTCTGGTTCTCTTCATGAAAAACCAATTTGTCAATCACAATCCATTTTAAGTTGTCTTTTATAAAAAATCTACCATTTTATTGCAAATATCAATTCCTTTCTAGTGAATAAAACTGCCCAAAAAATAAAATGAAGATTAGTTTAAGGCGCTTGTACACCTCCACGTTTCTAAGCATATGTTTTATAAATTTTGATTGGCTTTTCTCATACAAAATTATTCAATACTTCTCTATGAGCCTAGCCAGTCCAAATTAGGTCAACATCTGGATAGTTTTGACAATAACCAGAAATAAGGATGTGTACGAGCGCCCTTATAATAGAATAATTTACCAATTCCATCAAATCCAAGAATATCATTTCCTACTGAACTAGTGCGACCAGTTTCAGCTTCGTGTTTGTGTCGAAACAATTTCTGTCTTGCTAATCCACGACCATTGTCAAGTTGACCATGTGTCAGTACACCCAGCAGAGTTGATTTTCCTGCATCTACATTTCCAACTACAGCAATTCTAAACACGATATCAATGAAAATATTATTTAATCAAATTTATAAGAAATTGAGCTTCTCTTAAGAAGAACTTGCCATACGCGCAGTTAGAAGGCCTACCAGTCAGTAGCAATGAACGCCTCTGGGCGATAAATTGCTATCCGACTGGCATTACCCCTTACGACCGCGCGAAAGGAGAATTCTTCTTGCGACAAGCTCAATTGTAATCTTTTTTGAGATGTATTTCTCCAAAACATATTTTTTTTAAAATATTGCTTCAAAGACTTAATATTTAATATCTAGTTTTCTTAAAAATTTGAGGCCCAAAAATGGGCCTTATCTCATTGTAACATTACATTTGCCTAAATATCTCAGATTCAGAAAGAGCTGTAGGCTTCAATTTTTTTTAAATTGTAGGTCTCTCCGGAGGACATAAAATGAGAGTATTTTGATAACGTTCATAGGCCTGCTTGCCTGCAGGTTGTCATGGTAAAGTGCAAGTGTAAGAGAGTCAGTGAATTCAAAATTTAAGAGACGCATGCTTTTTCCCTAAAGGCCAAAGCGTAGAAAAGACAAATAGTTGAAAAGCAAGTAGTCGAATTGTCAATTCGTAGAATGACCGCCATTTGAAAGAAAAAATGCCCTACTTACAGTCTTGTTCCGAATGCATGAAGCTTTTTCATTCAAATTTTAAAACTAGTTCAATAACTTTTGATATTCATAAGGACGTATTAAATCTTCTCCAGAGGATCATGGTTTCAATTTATTCTGAGAATAATATTTGTGCCAGTGCAATGGAATACCTTAAGAAAGAAATAAGATTAGAGGTATTTAAATGTAGAGTAGGGAAGAGTCTCCAGTTGTGAGACGGGTTTTATTTTTGACCCGTAAATTGTAAACGGGTAAACGAAATTGTAAATAAAATACACCGTTCGAAAGGTAACATAAATACGCAACTTTTATTAAAAGAAAGTATAGTGTTTCGATGAACTCAAAAAATTTTACGATACATTTTCCGAGCACATCGCTTTTTTCAAAAAAAAAGAATGTCTCCAGTTGTGAGACACTCATTAAAAATTGCTAAAATTTAATAAGTTTGACATAAAACGTTATGTTTAGTATAAATAATTAAATATATTAATAATATATATTATTATATACTAAATAGTAATATTTATTCGCCAAAATATGACTATCAAATAAACACAATTTAATAGCTTCAACAAGAGCATTAGAATTGATTTCTTCTGAATCAATTGACTTTTTTCCACTTGACATGCCCAAAAATACTAGAAAAAAAATCAAAACAACATTTAAATAGTATGCCTGCAAAGTCGTATTTTTTATGCTGCCCAGATGGGTGTTGACACCGTCTCACAACTGGTGATATGTTGTGTCTCACACCCAGAAATTGGCGCTATTTTGAAAAAGGAAAATTAAATTATTTTCAACCGTAGATTGGAACAATGCAATATTGCATCACAAAATACAAGGAAAACACTAAAAGAAAATGCTTTACATTTACCTTTTCCAATTAATTAACTTGGAAAAAAAGTACTTTGCATTTATTGAAAAAACAATTTTTAGTCGATTATCACACACAATGTTGGTATTTAACAAAAACAGTTTATATATCCGCTTCGGCGTACACGAAAAAGTTGGCTCATATAAAAAGAAATGTTTTTATATAAACCAATCGGCTTTTTAATATTGCATAATAAAAAAAATTGACTGTCTCACAACTGGAGGTGTCTCACAACTGGAGACTCTCCCCTACATAAGGATATAATTGATAATTTTCTAAAAATAACCACTGTACTATACATAAGTTGTACTGTATCCTATTTAAACAGTATTTTGAAAGGAACTCTGCGCTTTATGAATAATAATCTTAAAGAGAAGGAAACAAAAGAATGAATATGTTTGTAAAGCAATTGAGAGAAGGGACAAATGTTGAAAATCAAAACATACCTACTCCACTCTATCTAGAAAAAACAGGTTAACATTTGAGGTATAAGGTATGTAAGTGCCTTAAAATATAAAAAGCAGAAAAAAATATAATTAAAATTTACTTGAAACATAATTTTTATGTTTTTAGAATATTGACTTTCATATGAAATTCATTTACATGCATCTACCGCATATTGACTTCGTGATCGAAGTCCAAGTGTAGCAACACGTAGGCAATCTCAATTTATTAGTTTTATTTTTCGATAGCTACTTTTTTATAATTTTTTTTCAAATTTGAAAGCTACTTTTTTAAAATAAATTATCGAGTGCGAAGTTTGAAACAGCGACTACAGCGCCTCTGCAATAAAAACAGGGAACTAAATTCTTTTGCCGCAAATGTATGGGCAAGTCGACCCAGCCTGGTCGAATAGTGAATTTTACGAAAGTTCATGTGGGGAGTTTGTCCTCTTCACTCTCTCCCCCCCTAAGCTCCCATGGTGGGGATAACGAGTGACAGTTCAGTTCATATGTAAGCGTCTATAAGTGTACACACATATTGTGTCATAACTTGATTTGTGTGGATAATAGTTTCGAATGTTGGGAAACCTTCCTGGAGTCATCTAATTTCAATTTATATAAATTCCCACATTAATGACCCAGACGTGATTCACTCATGTCGAGAATCAACAAGCCGTTCGAATTTTTAAATCCATCTTAAATACGCATTTATAACCAAACATCAATAGTCATCAATGGTTATAAAGACTTTTAAAATTATTAAAAGGACACTTAGAAGAATATTTCTTCTCAAAAACGACAATTTGTCAAGAAAACTCTATAATGTTCCTTTATTTTATAATTAAGACACGAAACAACCAAACTCCAATAGCTTCTGAAGACATCCATAAAACGTCAGTTTACGAGAACTATCAGATTCGTTTGACTAATGAGATAAAAGAGTTAATAACTGTCCATTGTAATTTAATTCCTCATTCTGATAATCCCATTATTGTCGGGAAAAAACATCCTTGAAGTATTTTGAAAATACGAATTTGACTTTGCATGATCTGTATTTGCTATTCGTGGATTATTATAATGCGGTCACAGGAATGAAAAGTGCGCCGATTAATCAGAGTACATATTGTCAGTATTTCAACCGAAATGTAAATTTTAGTTTTTCATAACCGCGAACTGATGTATGTAATACTTGCTTTGAGTTTAAACAAAGTTGCAGGCAGATGAGCAGTCACATTGAAGATCATAAGAAAAGAGTTGATGAACATAAAGCATTAAAGAAAAGTATCGTAGCAGAAAAAAACGTTTTGTGTCTGGCAGCAGATTTTGGTCAGAACTTACAACTTCCCAAACTTCTAGTTTCTGACCAAATCTACAAATGCTAAATTTGATTAAATGTCTTTAATGCTCACGTTTACGGCAATCATAAAAGAAGTTATATGTATTTTTTTAGAAGAGAAATTTACGTCATCTCCGGCATTTCTAGTTACGGCCCTGTCTTCTTGACCCCCCTCTCCACCTCTACGAAGAAACGAGAGAAGCGCGTGGTCTATTTGGTTTGTTTGAGTATAAAGTCCTGGCCTTTGGTCTTAGAAACGCTGCTCAGACATTCCAAAGGTATATCAATTAGGCTTTGGGCGACTTTGAATTCTCTTTTTATTACATCGACGACATACTCGTGGCGTCTTCCTCCGTTGTTGAGCACAATAATCATCTGCGAATAGTCTTCGAAAGGTTGGTCGAGTTTCCACTCAGAATTAATGTAAATAAATTGGTATGTTCCAATGCAGATAGCAGTCATAAAATCCCTCTGTTTGTCATAGGAAAATCAAAAAATCCCCAGATGTTTTAAGGGAATTAAAATTTTACCCGTAGAATATCGCGAACAAACTAGTGCGTGGATGACGCGTGAACTTTTTAAAATTTGACTGACATCGGTATTTTTGCCTTCAGTACAAAATTTCCAAAAAAATCCAAAAAAGGTCACATAACGTCTTGTTGATTCTGGACAATACTAGGTACCACTTGTCGAAAAAGGAGATAGAGTCCATTTCTGATATATGTTGAGATGTGCTCTGGGCAAAGGATGAGGACAATCTTTTTAAATATTTTATATTGTTGCATTCAAGTTGCTTGTGCCTGGTCAGAAATTTTTTCAGAAAATATCACTCGATCCTGGAGGAAATTAATTCCTGCTTGTGATATTACTATTGAAAGCAGTAATGTCTCCACAGATGACATTATACAACTGTTGTATAGACTTCCAGGATTTAACAACCTTTAAATGTAAGACGTACGTTCATGGCTTGCAGCCGATAACGATGAACCTGGGTGGGAATTGTTAATCGCTGATGAGATTTTACAAAGGTAAAAATGTATAACTTCTAGTAATCATTTTTATCACAATCTAATATGCCTTTCTTTGACCAACATTTTATTTTAATTTTTAGATATACTTATTGTACTGAATCTTCGGGTATTGAAGAAGTCCAGGGTTCCTACAGAATCTGGAAATCATGGAAATGGTATGGAATTTTTAAAAGGCTTTTGGAAATCATGGGAAAGGCCTGGAATTTTTAAAAGTATCTAAATTTTTCCTGTTTTCCATTTTTTCTCTTCAATAGAAATTCAATTAGAAATTTTAAGATATAATATATATTATACGACGTGAAAATTAAATTTAAAATTACACTGGGATTTCCTAAAAATTTGACCTGGAAATTATGGAAAAGGTATGGAATTTTAAATTCGGATTTCTGTAGGAACCCTGAAGAAGATACCGAGGTAGAAGCAGAAGAAGAATAAATAAATAACAAAAATGTTGATTTGCCAAACGAAGAGGAAATGGAATCAGCAACAGAAAATATTGTTTCTGAGGCTTACGGAAGCGCTCATGCGCAAACCCTAGCAAGTGTGCTTGCCTACCGCTCTGAGCATCTCGAAGCAGCTCGGCATGTGTGCATATAGGCACACCTGCACGCATGCTTTGAATGTTTTGAAAATTTTCTAACGTTTCGACACTGTTTCTGATTCTCATCATCTTTTTTTTAAATTCATAAAAACTAAGTGCCTTATTTAATTAAACATTCTAGGTAAGTGTTAACAATAATTATAAATATTGCTTAAAGCAATAAATCAAATATATTTTATTGAAAAGCGCTTAATTTAATTTATTTCACTGATTTTTTTCAAAATAAATTTACATAACCTCAATAAAATTTAATATTTACTTTATGTTAAAAGCAAGAACTTTATTTTGTTTGAAGATAATTTTATTACATTTTTGTTCAAAGTATATAATGTAATTATAATGAAATTAAAAAAATTTAATTTTATTTGTTATGAAAATATTCATTGTATGAAAAAAAATTATAATACTATAACATGCGACACAATTTCAGATGGAGTTTGCGAAGAAAAAATAAAAATAGAGTACAAAGGGGAAACGCAATGCATTTTTGTAACTGAAAATAAATTAAAAAATCTATGATGGATGAATTTTATTTCAAAGGAGCAAAATTGATGTATAAAAAAGATGGAGAAAGTGTTTTATTAGAATTTGACGAAACTTTTATTTATTTAGAACCAAATATTGAAGAGTATTGCGTTATTGCTCCGAAAGGTAGTAATTATATATAATTACTACTTATAATTACTACTTTTTTTCCGTAGAGGCTGATAAGGCTTTGAAAACTCTGGAATTTTTTAAAAAGTGTCATTCATCTATTTGACAATTTCATGAGATGGCGTTCCAACTAATTGAACTTTCGTTAAATTCACCATTCTGCGAATTGACGATTCGACTACTTGCTTTTTGACTATTTGTCCTTTCTATGTTTTGTCCTTTAGGGAAAAATCATGAGTCTCCAAATTTAGTACACATTGTCCTTTACTCTTGATGCTGCTGCTTGCGCAGACAGGCAGGATGCAGAGGTCTGAATGTTCCTTAAGTTTGACTACCGAGACGCATTTAGACATAAGTTTCATGTTTCAAAAAGCAATTATATATAGATTTTATTCTTGGAAGTACTATGTTACTATTTGTTATTTATGCTAATATTCACATAATAAGCTGCGCAGTAGTTTTCTTAAACCTTTACATAAATTTATCCATTTATACATTTTTATAAAAATATTAACCATACTAACCTGATTTCTAAAAAATCTTGTTCATTAAACTTTTTACGAATTAAATATTGTCCCGTTAAACCTTGTTCAACTTTATACTTTCTTAATAATACACAGTCTGCTTCCAGTTCTTTTGCAAGTGATTCAAGAGTTTTAACTGATGCGAGATAGTCATCTTCTTTTAAACCATCATCTGATCCATCTATTTATTCAATTAAAAGAACAGAACATAAAAATTGTAAAGTAAAACAATTTCCAATTAATTTTAAATTTATTGATAAAATAGGGTGGAAGAAATCGGACGTCATATTTAAAGGGGCTATTCATAAAGTACGTTACACGACTAGGGGAGATAAGGGTTTGAAAAATGCAACTGTTAGTAAAGGGGGGGGTGGGCAATTTAAAATTGTAACGTTACACATTGAATATACTCAACGATTTATTTAATGTACTTGATTTTAGTCCTCTCAGGCATAATGTAAGTAATTATAAATTTCAAACATATAATTTAATTTTCAAAGCACTAACCAGTTGATTTATCATACATAATGGTTTATATTTCTAAGTTATAAATTTTATTTTGATTACAGTATAAACTAACGTCTTATAAAAAATCATTTTTAGTTGAGGATAATCAGATGTTATCTTAATTTTCTTCCTACACTTTAAATGAATTATTACTTAATTGGGGATTGCGAATTTTCTCGATTTTGGACAAATTATGACAACGGGACTTCAATCCGCTAATAACCAATCAATTATTATCATGAGTAATAAAACTTTTACAGTAATTCAATGATTTGAAATACAATTTTCAGGAACATTTTTAGAAAGGAATCAATTGGCTAATATTGTTGATTATTTGAACATTTTGTGAGTAATATGTCTTTAAATCCGTCAATTGATACAAAAATAATTTACAAATTTCACAGAACATAATCAGTCTTTGGAACTATGTATTAGAGTGACGAGAGCTCGCAAAAAATAAATATTTTTTTATGTCTAACAGTACGTTTAATGGATTCATGGTTACATTAACGACTGCTATTGAAGTCATGCACTTTTTACAAAATCACTGTAACTACGAATTCTTGATGACTGTAGACTCGGCAAGACTTTATCTTAAAGTTTTGTACTACATTCTTTAAGGGTATGTTCGGCATGATTAGAGGATGCTGCGGTTCATACGACAAACCGGATCTTCTGTTATTTATCCAAGTTTATCGCCTCTTAAGTTTGTATTCTCTTGTGAAGCCACCAAAAGGGTCTAATGTAGAAGCCATTGAAATATTTGACTTTGATCAATGAAAATGACATTCATGTGCAAAAACTTAAAAATGAGGAAATCTCGGAACGTGGGGAAAACAATGACCCGGAGTACACTGTTCGTCACGTTCATGACTACAATGTGGTTAGTGTTAACCAATACGTTTAAGTTATTATTGTTTAAGATATTAACTCCCATCATTTTTCCTCCAAGAAGATGCCACTATTGCCAAATATTTAAACACTCAGTTGAACAATGTCATTCAACACACCAAATTTGCGAGTATTGTGCCGAATGTCACCAGTCGGACCAATGTCGAAACCAGAACCCAAAACCCAAGTGGTAGTGGTGGTGGAAGACGTGTAAGACTTCACTATCAATTGTGGTAGTAAACACTTTCCATCCTCTAGTGATTGTCCTAAATTTAAATATGAATTCCAAGTTGCAAACACTAGTTATCTCTGCAATCTGAGTTTCGTAGATTCTCAATTCTGACTTGCCAATAGAGGAATTAACCCTTCTATCAAAACTACCAATGATTTGATTATTAACGATGATCCGCCTCCAAACAACAACTTTCAAGCAAATTTAGATCTCCCTTCAGAATTTAAATCACCACAAAACACTCGGGGTAAGAAAATTACTCCAAAAAGCTACAAGTAAATAAAACTAGTTTACGATTGAGGAATATAGCTACAGCTCTGACCACCTTCCGGTCATAACTGACCTATACCTCGCTCCATCTACCTATAGATCTATTGGATGTCGTTATAACGTCACTGATGTTGACTGGTAAACATATTCTTCTACTTTCGATTCGTGCTTTCCTCAAATTAAGTATGGGTTTGCTCAATCCGCATCGGCTGATTTGGTTTACACTAAATTCTCCCAATGCTTGAGGCTATCTTCGGAGGCCGTGAGGGTATACGCCCTGATCCCAAATATGCCCTATCCAAACTTCAACCTACTTGGTTACAAAATCAATGCGCGGACTTATTAGGATTCCCTTCGTAATTTCTATTACTCTATAGACCCTTCCATGGCTTCTAAACATATGTGGTACAATCAGAGCCTTCAACTCTCAAAAGTTAGCAACATAAACTCAAATATTCAATTATCCTTTATCTCCGGAACATCTTAAACTAGAAGAAAAACTAACTAGATCCGACATTCCTCCTTTCAACATTCCTTTTGCCCCTGATAATAAATCTGACAACATAATGAATCAGGAATTATCTCTACAAGATCTTCACAGAGCATTAAGCTACTGTGTTAAAGACACATCTCCAGGAATGGATTATATCGATCTTATGTAAAATGATTATCAATCAAAATTATCAATTCAAGGACTTACTCCGTTACTTAGAATATTTAATAAAAAGTCCTCTGTAAGTTATTGGAAAGGATGGTGCATTATAGTTTTAAGCACCTCGTTGAACATAATAGGTATATATGTTGATGATCTTTTTATTTACACCGAATGTTTTAACTATCAGAAGGGTCTTAACATTCTTTATGAATCTGTTACACACTTAACCCCCTGGTTAGAGACTATTGGTATGTTAATCTCTATTTCAAAATCACAATTATGTTCTTTCTCGAGAAACCCATATAACACAAATCAACTCTCACTTTCACATAGAAATGAAACAATAGCCTGCAAACGTAACGTTAAATATTTAGGTGTCATATTAGACGCAAAATTAAACTGGTCTTTACATATATCCCATACAATTCAGCAAAGTGGCAGAGCTTCGAATATTTTAAAGGTCTTAGCAAAAGTTTCATGAGGTTGGGGTTTATCCCCAATTGATATGCTAACCATTTATCGAGGTTTAAGTAGAGCTTACTTGGAATGGGGTATTATTTTGTTTTGCAGGGGCAGCAAAAAAAGAATTGTCAAGACTCGACATGATTCAATATGCAGCCGTACGGATTGCCTTGGGTTGCATGTCATCAACACCTATATTCTTTCTGTTGTCCGAATCTGCGGATCCTCCTCTAAGTTACAGACGATCCTTCCTTTGCAATAGATTTATGGCGAGATCATTGTCTTACTCCGAAAATCCAATAGTTCCTTAACTTAAATTATTATCTAATCGAGTAAAAAACAAAAGAAACCGAAACAATATATAACGAAATCAGGAGTTCTAACAACTGTTCAACGTATAGCTCCACTCATAAATTTAGGCACGCTTCCAAAAAAAACCATTATATTTTAATTTTTCTTTCGGACTCAATAACTTATATATCCCTAAACATGCAGCTATAATCACATTACAAACTCTTGCATCGTATTTGTGAACTATACTTAAATATTAAATTACCAAATAGTTACTAGATCTGGCTACTTGCAACAGCAAAAAGCCATAAACAAAATAAAAAGTATATTCAAAGTCAATTGAAATTTTTCGTTCGTCTGGGCACATGAATTTTAACAAAACCTATAAAAAAAAGGTTTTTTATCCAAGGGAAGAGAGTATGACAATTTGAATAAAATCAGCATATGATTTCTTTCTAAGTACACTCGACTCTCGGATCTTTTGCATTCAGATCTTTTACACTCTCGATCCTTTTGCAATTAAATAAATAAATGACTATAAGAGTGTCAAAATATTTATTTCACGATAACTTAGGTTAACTAAAGTGAATTATAGCAGCTCCTCCATTATCTGATTAAAATTACATTAAAATTTTAATTACTATAAATGTAAATATTAAAACTAAAACATAAATACTGTATTGTTTTGTTTTGCGTTACCATGGCATTTGTTTTGGTAAAAGATATGAGAGGATTTGGTCCCATAAGTGCAAAAGATCCGAGAGTCGAGTGTATTCACTAATTTAAAGAAATTCTAAAATTTAATTTACAAAATTTCTCTCCTTTCTATTAACGTTCCTTTTAAATGTATATAGAATACTATAGGTCCCTGAATTGCACAAATTGCATTGTACTCTCTAAATCTGAATCAGTTCATATGCACTTATTTTTTTACGTGGAAAAGTTTTTACTTACTCAGATTTAGATAGTAATATGTTACACATAACAGTTACTTAAATTTAGAAAATATTGAATAATAAAATACTATAAAGGTAAATTAACTAACCTTCACCAATTCCAATATCAAAAATGGTTTCATTTCTTCCATCTTGAAGTCTGTCTTTCAATTTTGTTAATAAATTATAATAAACCGTTTCTGAAGGATTAACAAAATCACCCTGTAAGGAGAATAGTGTTATAAAATAAACCTTAAAATATTAAAATAATAAAGAAATAGGGTAAACCAGGCAGTAGTCAGCCACATTTCAATTTTGAATAGCTATAAAACCGTATGAGATAAAAACAATTTTTTTGTAAAGATGATTGGTATATTAGTTTTGTAGGACCATAAGGAACAATCACAAATTTTAATTGCAATTTTTAAACAGTATCCATTAAAAAGATTTTCTTAAGTGGCCGACTACTGCCTGGTTTATCCTAGTATATTATGCATCTAGGGAGGAAAACAGGAGTTGGAAATCATTTTCCTTCCTATTTTTTCTAACACACGTATTCCGATAGTACAAACGCGGAGTTTATTATAATCATAACTCCACTCGTGTCACAAAAATCACCGTAAAGAAATGGCTGCCTTTATCCCCTTGTTGCTTAATATACTATTTCCCCCTGCTAGTGACGTATGTCGGGAAAGATATATTTTTTCCGCGCTTTACAGGTAAGAAATGGTGTACTTTCGGTGCATGTGTAAGAAAAAAACATTTATGAATTCAGGGTGGCCACAAGTTTAAGTTTATCAATTTCCCTGACATTTCCCTGACAATTTACTGATATTAAAATTACTTTCCCTGACAAAATTCCTTTTAAAGGAAAATATGAATGTTTACGGAAAATGGGTAAAACTTATGAATTTGAATAATTTCTAAAAATTACAATTATAACTCTTCATGAATTCAATTATTTTTTACAATTTTCAACTAAACTTCATCTCTAAATCAATTAATTTAAATAATTTCCCAAAATTTCTTCTAGAATTCAATTATTTAAATACAAAAATTAAATTTTTTATAATAATTGTAATTATATATAAATATAATAGTTTTTCAATTTTAAATAATTTCCAAAAAATTAAAATTTGGTTAAATCTTTTAAAAATAATTGAATTTTTGAAAAATATAAATAAAAATGATCAAATTTTTGAAGAATTTTAATTATAAACAGGACCATAATTTCTCAAAAATTTTAATAACTCCAAAAAGTAAATTTTCATAAATTTTTATTTACATTGTTCGAAGATAATTGAATCTTAAAAAATTATTATAAAACAATTCTAATAATTAGTTTTTAAAAATGTTTTAATGTAATTTTTCGAAAATAATTGAATTCCTTAAAAAAAGTCAGACTAGGTTTGGAACTAATTATTATTAAACTATTCAAAATAGTAAACATATATTGGTAGTAATCAAATTGGTAATATTGGTAGTTCAAAGCAAATGTTGGTAGTTAAGCGCATCAAAATACGTAAGAAAATTATATTCAGGTTTGTCTTAAAAAAAGTTCGATTTTTTTGTGGTTCTGTGTAATTTAGGGGTAGAAAATGACACATGTTAGTTCAGATGTTAAAAATTGATAGTATCGGATGTTTCTGAATTCCAGTTTCGCTTTTGTTGAAGCTCGTCAGTACTATGTGAACAAATTTGTTAATAGTATACCGGAACAGATATTTACAATATAAAAAGCATTCATTATTTTCAATAATGTTTAAAAAAATAAGTATTTAAAATACATCCTAATCTTCTCACACATTTGATGACATGGAATAGGTAAGCTTTACGGCTTTTTTAAAAGCAGGTAAACATACCAACATTATATATGTTACGGTAATGTCGATTATTGGGCATTCTCGACAATGCCCGGGCACTGTCACATTTTACTGAATTTTGTTAAAAATATCCGGGCAATGGCGACAATGCCCAATAATCTACATTAACCGTAACATATATGATGATGTTAAGAGTATCGTATATTGAGACTTTTTCTCACGGCGCGACTGCTGACGGGTTAATTGAATGCATAATATCTCCAGAATATTGTGTTAAAATTTCAAGTCAATCGTTATAAGTATTATGTTTTCATGTGTAATATATTTTACAAATTGTGTTTTAAAAAGTCAAAATATTTACCTTCTTTGACATTTTACAATGCTCTGGAGCACGATTTACGTCATTATTTTTACTGCACGTTAGTGCATCAGCCGTAGAAAACATCTTTTACGGCAATCCAAGAAATCTAAAACCAAAATTAAATTTTTATATTTACAAAACATTTTAATTTTTGTATAAATTTATAGAAATTCTATGACATTGCCTAACCCTTAGACACCATGATAATAATAACTATAATAAGGAAATAGTGACATAATTCATAAAGGACATTGGCATGATCGATTGTGCTTCGTCTTTTTTATTATTTAGTTGCTGAGTGAGAGTTTCTCAAATGGACTTTAAATTTCTATAAGTTGAAATTCGATAATGCATCAAATGTATAAATACACAGGAAGATAGTTCGATTATATTAAGAGGTAATTCTTCTAGAGCATTATTTTCAATAATTAATTTTATATTATTAGGGGAGATGGCCGCTGCGTGGCCCTCATCGGTCCCCATTGGGAACCCTTCTCATGGATCTTTTACGTGGGGCAGTGTGGTGCGAACGGGGCATTTTACTCGAATTTTACAATAAAGTTAAGAGTAAAGTAAAAAATAAAGTAATGTAGGAATGTATCCATTATAGGGCCGTCTCCCTTAACCCTTTAAGGGGAGACCCCACCTTAATTTTGACCTCTTTAAAATAAAATTATTAAACGAGGTAATATTTTTTTTCTTGCATCATTTTTAACTTGAAAAGATATAAGATGGTTAAAAATATTTAATTTCAATTTTTGAAGAGGTTAGAATTTTTTTCTTCTTACCTATTGCATATTATTGCAAATCCATGCGAGAAGTTGTTTAGAATGGTAAAATATGCATGGAAAAAAATTTTCGTTAAAAAATATTAAAAACTGTAAGAGAAGATCGATTTTTAATATTCAAATCTTTAAATTTTGCCGAAATTTCGGAAGTCCTGAACCTTTATTTTTTTCCAATTTGATGCTCTGAGTCGAAAAAACATCGTTAAAATTGACGATTAGCTCATTTTCATGGTAAAAACTAGAAAAATCATGTCTTTTTGCATTTATTTCGTTATATATAAAGTATACCATAAAAGCTTCGGACTATGATTTTTATGGAATTTACCACGAAAATGAGCTAAATGTCAATTTTAACAATATTTTTTGAATAATAGCATCAAATTACGTAAATATACACAATTAGGAAAAAAATTAAAGATTTAAGGCTTTCGAAATTTCGGCAAAATTTAAAGATTTGATTATTAAAAATCGATCTTCTCTTACAGTTTTTAATATTATTTAACGAAAATTTTTTTCCATGCATATTTTACCATTCTAAACAACTTCTCGCATGGATTTGCAATAATATGCAATAGGTCAAAAGAAAAAAATTCTAACCTCTTCAAAAATTAAAATTAAATATTTTTGACCATCTTATATCTTTTCAGGTTAAAAATAATGCAAGAAAAAAAATATTACCTCGTTTAATAATTTTATTTTAAAGGGGTCAAAATTAAGGTGGGGTCTCCCCTTAACGCCCAGCGGTTTCGATCGAAACCACTTTTCATTTCTAAAATCTATAACTTCGACAAAAATTAAGATATTTTTTAGTTCTAAACGCTCATGACCCACAAATTTATAAACCTTTATGAAAAAAATTTACATTTTAAAAAATAATTAACAATTTTGTAATTACAACAATAATAAAAAAAAATTTTGTTGCAAAATTTGCAACAAAATTACAAATTCGAAAATAAAAGAAAACAAAGCTACTGAAAATTGTTACTCGGGGGTTTTCGGAGTCGCTGATTACGAATTGGATGCCAGATTTTAAAAATTCAAAATGGCGCATCCAATATGGCGGACATCATTTCTAAAAAACTGATTCAATTTGCCTAAAAATTGTTACTTGGAGGTTTTCGGGGTCACTGATTACGAATTTAATATCAGATTTTAAAAATTCAAAATGGCGGATCCAATATGGCGGACATCATTTTTAAAAACTGATTCAATTTGCCTAAAAAATGTTAATCGGTGGTTTTCGGGGTCGCAGATTAGGGGTCGTCATATACAACGTGGACAGTTTTTCAAAGATTTTTGACCCCCCCCCTCCCCCTTGTGGACACAAAAATACATGGGATCGTGGACATTTTCAAACTTTTTTAACCCCCCTCCCCCAAAAGTGTCCACGTGGTATATGGACGACTTCTTACGAATTTGATGCCAGATTTTAAAAATTTAAAATGGCGGACGTCATTTATAAAAACTGATGCAATTTGCCTGAAAATTGTTACTCGGGGGTTTTCGGGGTCGCTGATTGCGAATTTGATATCAGATTTTAAAACTTCAAAATGGCGGGTCTAATATGGTGGACATCTTTTTTAAAATTTGTTTTAATTTGCCTGAAAATTGTTACTCACGGGTTTTCGGGGTCGCTGATTACGATTTTAATTTTAATTTTTTAAAATGTAAAATAGCGATTTCAATTTAGTGTATAAAATGTCCTAATAAAAACGAGATCAGAATAAAATGTTCGATACCTTCGTGACAATGTGCAAAACAAATGCCTAACGCGAAACCGGCATCATAATGATTAATGAAATATTCATTTCTATATTCGTAATAATCAGAAAAACAAATGTCTAACGCAAAGACGAAATCAATCTAAAATGCTTGACTATATTTGTGAAAATCGGAAAACAAAATCCTAACATGAGAATGCGATCCGAGTAAAATATGAATCTACATTTGTGACAATGCGATAAACAAATGCCTAATGAGAAAACGATGTCAAAATTAAATGTTCGTTTACATTCGTGACTATAGAAAAACAATTGCCTAACATAGACTCTAACATTAGATTAGTAAACAGCGGCCCTGAAAACCCCCTACTAACAATTTTATGGCAAATTGAATCAATTATTAGAAAAGATGTCCGCCATATTGGATCCGACATTTTGAATTTTTAAAATCTGATATCTAATTCGTAATTAACGACTCCGAAAATCCCCGAGTAACAATTTTCAAGCAAATTAAATCCGTTTTTAGAAAATATGTCCGCCATATTGGATCCGCCATTTTGAATTTTTAAAATCTGATATCAAATTCGTAATCAGCGACCCCGAAAACCTTTATATACGAGCAATGACGTGAATTGCACTGCTACAAAAAAGTCGGGCGTTAAAGGGTTAATTTAACCATTAAGAGCTTTTTTTGGTGCAGCACTGGTAAAAAGCACAATTGGAAAAAGCACTTTTTTATAAATGTAAAAGAACAAGCAATTAAAATTGGAAGTTTGCTGATTTTTGCGATTTTTAAATGCAAATAACTATCTTACAGAAAAATAAAAAATTACAAAACTTGGGAAATATCTAAATTATTTCAAAAAATTATTTAAATATTTGAATATAACATTTTAAAAATTGGTAGCTTTTTAAATGTTCCGAACAACATGAATTGTTATTAGACACTAAACCAATATAAGACAATTACAAAATATGACAAAATTTATACAGAGGTAAGGTCATTAACCTATTTACAATAAGTAGAAATTAATAGGATACGTCGCAGTATAATCAGACAATGAGATTCACTAGAATTTTCTATTATTGAGGGAATGTAAGTAACTATGAATGAAATTTACATTAAATCAAAACCAAGTCAACGATTTGTTAAAGAAAGTGAAAGTAAGTTTGAGGCTAAGTCTAGGCCTATGTCTTAGTCTTTGACTTTGATTTTTTCCGACTCTAAAGAATATTCTGAATCACTCGCAAAATAATTAGATACACAAAAAATGTTCTATATTACATTTATTTTGCCACAGGAATTGAGATTTTCAAAAATTTGAAATTCAATAGCATCTAAGAATATTATTATAAAACAAGAAGATACCGATCACTTCGACCCAGTGAGAAATTGCCAATAGACTTTAATCGGTCCAATATCGGTCCAATATTGGTTGCCGTGCTGGGCGCCGATTGACTCCCAATATTGGACCAATATGGGCTGATGCTTGGGATGTAACGGCATCGCCAATCATCGGTTGTCAATATTGGTCCAATATTGGCCGAATATTGGCAACCAAGAGAAAAAAATTTTTTTAAATAAATTTTTTTTAATTAAATAATAATAATAAAAAATTAATGTTTATAATTTTTGTTTAATATATTTATTTGTTTAATTATTTATTTTTAATAATTCATGTAAATAATAAATAATTTATTATTTATAAATTATAATAATTTAAAAATGCAGCAGCTATTAGAAAATAGCATTCTGCAAAAAAATTCTATCATTGAAAAATCAATGATAGGCGAGAGAAATCCGCGTCTTTAAATAGATTCGCAGATGATAGACAAGAGATATCCGCGTCATTAAACGGATTCGCAGATATACTCTGGTCTCGCGACGAATCTCTCGATACTTATATACACTGGAGTCGCCGTGTCAGTTGCGAGAACGGTTACAGCGTCCCTCTTGCGGCAGAGATAAGAATTGTCACGTAAACTGCTAAATCGCTTTACCGACCGCCTTATTATACCCGCAGTTTACGTGACAATTCTTATCTCTGCCGCAAGAGGGACGCTGTAACCGTTCTCGCAACTGACACGGCGACTCCAGTGTATATAAGTATCGAGAGATTCGTCGCGAGACCAGAGTATATCTGCGAATCCGTTTAATGACGCGGATATCTCTTGTCTATCATCTGCGAATCTATTTAAAGACGCGGATTTCTCTCGCCTATCATTGATTTTTCAATGATAGAATTTTTTTGCAGAATGCTATTTTCTAATAGCTGCTGCATTTTTAAATAATTATAATTTATAAATAATAAATTATTTATTATTTACATGAATTATTAAAAATAAATAATTAAACAAATAAATATATTAAACAAAAATTATAAACATTAATTTTTTATTATTATTATTTAATTAAAAAAAATTTATTTAAAAAAATTTTTTTCTCTTGGTTGCCAATATTCGGCCAATATTGGACCAATATTGACAACCGATGATTGGCGATGCCGTTACATCCCAAGCATCAGCCCATATTGGTCCAATATTGGGAGCCTTTATTGGACCGATGATCGGTCTCTTGGCTCCCAATATTGGACCGATATTGGACCGGTGAGAAATTTCTCACTGGGGAGTCGAAGACTCGGAGTCACCGGTTTCTTCATGTTATATAAACTTGCTACTTTCTTACTGTAACTTCTTCAAAAATTATTTTCATCATTTTGATTATTCATTACTAGAGTTTTCAACTCAAATTCTTCTTTAAATTAATTTTTTTTATAATTTTTGAAAAAGTTCTTTCAGAGTTTTCAAATTTTTTTGTTTACAATTTAATTTTACGAAATTTCGATTATTCTGACACTTCAATTAAATATATTAAAAATTAAAAGCTTCAAATAATTAAAAAAAAATTCCACTAAACTTTTTGAAAAAAAATTAGTTCTACAGAATTCTTAATTAAAAGTATGAAAAGTTCAAATTTTCAAAAATTTTAATTTGAAACCTTTTAAAAATTCAATTATTTTAAAAAAAATCTAAGTTATAATGCTTTCAATATTCAATTATAATCTAAAATTTTAACTGAAATACATTTTTAAATAAATATTTATTAGAAAATTCTACGAGAATTTAACTATTTAAATACAAAAATAAATACACTACCGTCGGGAATTATCGGTACGGCTGCACGCGCAGGGCCCAAAAACATACCAATCTTCAAATCACGATTTCTTTGTAAATACAAATGTCAAAAAATTAACAAACATACCATTCGAAAGATTATTAAATTCTACGATCAATGATACATAATTGAAAATTTTAATAATTTATACAAAGATTGCAGCAATCGACAAATTTGACAAAAAAAATTTTTAAATAAAATTTTTTTGGAAATTATTTCAACCCCTGCACATTTTTTAAAAATTGTAGGAAAAATTTGAAACTTATATAGGTGTAATCATTGAAATCTCATCTTTAATTTAAGACCAAAAGATTTAAAAAATCTTATTCGGTTCGAGAGATATCATTATAAACGGCCGAGCATTTTCAGCCAAAAAACGTTCAAAATCTACTAATTCAATGCATTTGTCAAAAAACATGCTCGGACGTATATAATGATATCTCACGAACCGAATAAGATTTTTTAACTCTTTTGGTCTTAAATTAAAGATGAGACTTGAATGATTACACCTATATAAGTTTCAAATTTTTCCTACAATTTTTAAAAAATGTGCAGGGGTTGAAATAATTTCAAAAAAAATTTTATTTTTAAATTTTTTTTGTCAAATTTGTAAATTGCTCCAAGCTTTGTATAAATTATTAAAATTTTCAGTTACATATCATTGATCGTAGAATTTAATAATCTTTCGAATGGTATATTTGTTAATTTTCTGACATTTGTATTTACAAAGAAATCGTGATTTGAAGATTGGTATGTTTTTGGGCCCTGCGCGTGCAGCCGTACCGATAATTCCCGACGGTAGTGTATTTTATTAAATAATTGAATGTTTCTTAAAATTAAATTTTCATAAAGAATTTTATTAACAAATTTTTAAATCATTGAATTCTCTTGACAAATTGTAATAAAATTTTTAAGAATAAGTTCATTTTTCAAGAAACTTGATGAAAATTGTATTAAAAATAATTGCAACTCTGCCAAGAATTTTATTAAAATTTTTGAAAATAATTGAATTTCGGAGAAAAATTTTATTATTTATAAAGATAATTGAAATTTTGTCGAGAATTTTTGAAAATTTTTTATCATAATTGAATTTCTGCGAAGAATTATTATATTATTTTTGAAAATAATTGAATTATTGAGACGAATTTTATTAAAATTTCTTTTTAAATAATTGAATTCTTTTGTAAAATTTTATTGAAATGATAGATATTGAAAATAATTAAATTTTGACAAATTTTTGAAATTAATTAAATTTCTATGAAGAATTTTATTAAAATTTTTTTCAAAAAAATTGAATTGTTACAAAGAATTTCATTAAAATTTTTGAAAATAATTTAATTTTTTGGAGAAATTTAATTAAAACTGTATTGAAAATAATAAAATTAAATTCTAATAAAAAAGTTGTAGCAAAGATTTTTAAAATAATTGAATTTCTTTGATAAACTTGAATATAATTATTAAAAATAATTATATTTTTCGCGGAATTCCATTAAAATTGTATTAAAAATAATTGAAAGTCTGCGATGAGTTTTAATATTTATGAAAATAATGAAATGCTTGCGTAGAATTTTATTAAAAAATTTTTTAACTAATTGAATTCTTTTGGGGTTTTTTAATTAAAGTAATAGATATTAAAAATCATTAAATTGAGGAAAATTTTTTTAAATAATTAAAATTTTGCCAAGAATTTTATTAAAATTTTAGAAAATAATTGAATTTTGTGATAAGAATTTTACTATTTTTGAAAATAATTGAATTTCTGCAATCATTTGTAATTGCTTCAAAATTCAATTTGTTTTAGTGTTTTTAACTAAAATTCTTCTATAAATCCATTATTTTTAATAATCAATTAAATACATTATATTAAAAAATTAATTTTTTATTAAAATTAATTAAAAAAATTAATTTTAAAATAATTTTAGTTATTAAAGTTTTTAAAAATCTAGTTTTTTAAATTTTTTAATTAAAATCTTTTGAAGTTCATCTATTTATGAAAATTGTAAACGCAACTCTTTTAAAATTGAATTTACGGATATATATTTTTGTGAATTCCCGCAAAATTCCCGGACGCTAGACACCCTGAAATTTTAAGAGTTAATTATAGAAAGAACACAAGAAAATCCCGGTTCAAAAAAAAATCTCCTGTCATTTCACGGTCAATTTTTTAAATTTCTGCTATTCCAAGTTTCCCAGGTTTTCCAGATCTGTGGCAACCCTGTTAATGGATAAAATTTGTAAAATATTAAGTTATTTTACAGGTAAATTTAATATTCCTTATTTTTAATTATTTCTATCAATATTTAATAATAAATTAAGTCATTATGTATAAATTTAAATTATTTTTTTTACATTTTCATAGTAAATTATGTGTTTTCTTTAATTTTTTCTATTAGATGAAAAAAGAGAATTTCCATTATTTCGCATACTTTAAATGATATATTACTTTACAATAAATAATATAAATTTTTTAAATTCTTTTTATTTGGTGATAGTACCTTTAAAATCATTCCTGCAAAGTATAATTTTCATAATTAGACGGCAAAAACTTTAGTCGAAATATAATGGAATGACTTCTACTTCAGAAAATAAAGAAATTGGCATGTATAAAGTTTAAATTTCACCAAAGATTAGTATGTAAATTAATTTAAAAATTATATTTATATTATGAACGTCGACGTCTGTTTTCTCGAGAAGAAATTTGTTTCTCATAATGATCTTAGTAGTACTTCAGTAATTCAGATTTGGAAGATAAAATTTTGAACGTTCAAATAAACGAATTTCTTTACTAAAAAATGGATTGACCTGAGTCAATTCCTCCTCAGAAAAAATTAACTTTTTTAAAATAATTTACTAATACATCAGAAATAATAAAATTACGTCAGATAAAAGGTTCAGGTATATTTAATAAAGAAAGATTAGACTTATAAATATAGAAAAAATAATTCTTCTCTAAATACCAATTTTGATAAAATATCGTTTCATTTACCTGGAAATTTCAATATAATAATAATAATTTTTTTTAATGAAAACGCGCCTGTGATGTATTTACTAACAAATATATACATATATACAAACACTTCTGTCAATGTCAATTACAATTGTTAGAATTTTTTCAACTCCGAGAATCATTCAATTGTTACAAAAGTTTAAATATTATTGACTAATAATAATATTAATAAAATATGTTTTAATTCACTAAGTATTTTTGTTAAGAAAATCATTCCACATAATAAAGAAAAACTTATATTTCTTATATTCTTAAATAATTAAAAATACATATTGATAAGTAGAGTTGTGGAGGAAACATGAATAACATTAATATACTTATAAAATTATAAAGAATTAACATTTTTCACTACAAATTTTCAAATTTAAACTTACAACTCTGTTGAAAATCGTATTCCAAAAGTTTAAATCTGTTTCACTTTGGATGATTCCACCAAATACATGCACTTTATTAATCGCAAAAATAAATAAACAAGAAAAATATTGCGCAAGAAAATTTAGTTCGTGAACATTTCTTTCATTCACATATTTATTTACGAATTGGCAAAACCAATCGCTTTATATATCTCTACATTCCTATGAAATCATAACATATGAAATTAATATTGAATGTTGTTTCATACTTTCATATGACATATCGTATCCCCTTTATATATATTATATATACATGCATATTGCATATAAAAGAGAGTGAAGTTCACAACGTTGCTTCACACCATACTATAAAGGTCTATCTACAATAGCTTGAAAATGAATTTGTTTTGTCTGATTCAAAGTAACTGCATATTCTGCATAGAAATTTGCGACAATATACTTTGAATTTAAAGGCCTTTCTCCAATAGGATCCAAAAACTCTGCGTTTGTCTGCGAATGACTGCGTTGCGTTGATTTTAGCATGCGTTGCTATAGCAACCGACGCAGACACAGAGTTTTGGGAACCTATTGGAGAAAGGCCTTAATGATTTAAAGTGAATTTATATGCAGAATATCCAGTTACTTTCAGGCTGAAGTCCCATGGCAGCGTTTTGCTTTGCGTTTTGTAACTAGGCAATGAGTGTGAGAGAGATGGAGATATATGTTTGCTATATTTGCACTCATGGCCTAGTTACAAAACGCAACGCAAAACGCTGCCATGGGACTTCACCCTCAATCAGACAAAAACGAAGTATTTTCAAGCTATTGTAGATACACCTTTACAGTTTCGTATGAAGTGATAAAATAGACTGCTTTGGAGTGAGGGAGAAAGAAGAGAGTGTTTACGGTTGTTGCGCAAAGCAGACTTTTAGAACCTATTGCAGAAAGGCCTTTACCATTTAATGCTTGTCTTTCCAACGCTGCTCATTGCTTCAAGTTACACACTATAGCAAAATTTCTATAGAATTCATTCGACAAGTTTTTGACATGTACAATTCCATCTGTGTTTAATTTTTATTTATTAACAACTTCTGACGCATAACTACTTTATTTAACAGTGAATCAGTTTTTGATACTAATTTACATTATACCTTAAACTTTTTTTAATTATGAAGTATTGTCATTTTTTAATTTCATTTTTTCTAGACTTTCAAGAATGAATTATTCTAATTTTTGTATTAATAAAACTGCGTGTTTCCACTATTCAATTCTTCGAAAGATGAAAAGTGGAGGAATTTTTCGAAAATGAATTTACTATCAGATGAGATTATTATTGTTAATAATTTTTAACAAGTTTAAATGGCTGAAACTGAAGGGCCAATTTTGCATATAATAGTGATTGGTTTTCATCACAAAAAAGGTTGTCAAGTAAGTTATAGATTTATAAAATATTTTATTGTATGAAGTTTTGTGATATTTCATAAGAAATTTATTATTTTTCAAAGTTCCTCCAAGAATTTAAATGAAACTTGGTAATATACATTTATGTTGTAAGCCATTAGAAAAATCTGTCATGTAGAACGTATAGTTCCTGGACAAATAGAAAAATACCGGTAATTAGTTAGGTGAAATGTCAGAAATGTTTATTTTTCTATTTGTCTAGTTTACTGCATAAAGCGCACCCTGTCAATTTTTATTATACAAATTAACGGTTTCGTTTATTTATTATTAATAATAAATCAAATCTACTAAAGTCTATAAAAGTTTATATTTTGAAAAAAATTTAGAAAAACGAAATTTATATAATTTAAAATCTAACAAGTAACACTACCCAAGTTGAAAACTGGGATCGAGTTTTACCTTTAACCATTTTTTAAGTTCCCCCATATAACCCAACTGCTCAATAAAGTACACTTTATTGCCCTAGGGTAATAATGAGTACTTTATTTACCTGTGAGCGCGGATCAATAAAGTACACTTTATTGCCCTAGGGTAATAATGGGTACTTTATTGACCTGCGAGCGGTCAATAAAAAAAAATATTTCTCAATTTTACTCTTTTGTTCATTTAACATAAATTATATTACAAAACTATTTTTTAATATCACAATTTCTCTTAAAATTACTTTTTAAATTAATTGTAATATACATTTATGTTGTAAGCCATTAGAAAAATCTGTTATTTTTATTTATTGTATATTTTGTTAAATTGAAGTTTTTCATTAAAACAGAAACATATTCACTACAAAGATACGTACTTATATACTTACTATGATAACTAATTGTATGTATTTTTGCAATAACAAAACATATATACTTAAAATTAAAAATAGAAATAAAAAAATAGAAGGAAAATGGAGTGTTTAAAAAAAGAGTGTTTACGGTTGTTTGCTCACTTTTTTTCTATCTTAAAATTACCAAAATTTTATTATTTATTAAAAAGATTGTATATTATGAGAAACTTGTATTAAATTCTCAGAGAATATTTTTGTCCAGATTCTAGACAGGCTTCATATCGAAGAATGTAAATGAAAACTGTACATTAACTTTTCGGGGCCAGAATACTTGTTTCATAATAAATTTTCACGAAAAAACTGTCTAATTGTAGTCTATTTCTAGAAAGGCACAGTGGGCCAGGATCGATAAATAGTGGCCAAAAGTAAATATTTTTTTAGAGGTTTAAGAAATTTATTTTCTAAATTTTGATACCTGAAAGTATCTAAATATGAAATACTAAGTGTTTTTTTTGCCAAAACTCAAAAATCTTAAAGAATTTTTGTTCGCCATATTGGATCCGCCATTTCTAATTTTCAAAAACTGACATTAGATTCAGATTCAGCGACCCCGAAAATCCCCAAATTTTGAGTTTCAAGCGGATCTAAACAATTTTTAAACTTTTGGTCGCCATATTGGATCCGCCATTTTGAAATTTTTAAATCTAACATCAAATTCAGATTCTGCGATCCAAAATACTATAAGTACACTCATAAAAATTGAAATTAAATTTGATTTGGTACATTTTTTAAGGTGCTTGTATACACAATTCACGATGGAAATACTAAAAATTACTTTTTTCAAAAATCCCCCGATGGATTATTTTAATTTTTGTTGCAAAATACTCAGGGAGGTCTCCAGTGTTGGAATCCACAAAAAAATCCCATTTCGCAAGATTTTTTTTACCATAATTGATAATTCTTAAAAAGAGTGAAATTTATGCCAACTAATTATGCTATCTATTGTTTTTGGGGTCGCTTACGAACATGAAGTCAGATTTAAAAAATTCAAAATGGCGGATCCTTTATGGCGGACATCAAATTATTCATTTTTCATGAAATTTGATATCAGGGGGTTTTCGAAGTCGCTGATTATGAATATAAAGTCAGATTTTAAAAATTTGTTTGTTTAATATATTTGAAAATATTTGTTAATTACTGTAAATTTCACTTAGAGAAATATTTTTTCTTTTAAATTGTTAATTATAAATGTTAAGAACTTCACTTATGTCAAAGTTTTACATTACAAATTTCGCATAGTTATGACGTTTTTGCTTTTATCAAAGAGCCCCTTAAGATATATATAAAAAAACTAACAGCAGATTTTAAGAGATGTAAAGAAAATGTTTGCCTTAGGTGGAGTTCTCTTTTCCTCCATTGGTACCTGAGGCTCCAAACGAATGTCCGTTGAATTGGAGATATTTGCCGTCATTAGCACTACCAGATGGATCTCACAATTATGATGAAGACACCGTATTTTTTCACCTACCTAGTCTTACGGATCCAAAATGCACAATATACGGAATTTCATGTTTCAAACAAATTCCAGTTGAGGTATACTTTCATAAATAATTATGACTCAAATAAAAATGTTAAAAAATTTTTGAAATTTGTAAAAACTCGTTGTTAAGAATGTCCGAATTATAGAACAATTTTTTGTAAAAATTTTTTACTGACTCGTTTTTGAAAATTTAATTGTTGAAATTGCATGTTTTTATATGGACTCTTATGGAGAGTGTCATGTGAAGTGCACTATTTTGATAATAACTTGTGTAAGAAAATTAAACTTTTTTTATAAAAATCATACTCTTTCAAAGTTTAATACTTTTGGAATAATTTAAAAAAATAATTGAGTAAACCGACTGTCCCGATTTTGAGAAATAACATTAAAACTGACGTAAAATTCCATATTTTCTAACCTCACTAACATAATACACAATCATATATACGATGACAATAGAACGCAACTAACGTCAAGCCAAACTCTTACCACATAAAATATCAAAATTTTTCTAGAGAAAACAAATGAATACATTCGCTTTATTTAAATGTCTATATTTTATTTATTAAATTATGTTTGTTTTCAATTTTAATTGAAATGCTTTTTTAATTTTATTTCAATGCATTTTTTATATATTTAGTATTTATTGCATTAAATTAATTTTTAAACATTCATTATGAAATAAATTATTTACAGGGTGTCTAGCGAACCGGGAATCCGGGAAAAACCGGGAAAACCCCGGGAATTTTTTTTTCCCGGGAAAAACCGGGAAACCCCCGGGAATTTTCTTTTAAATCCGGGAATTTTTTTATGAAGTACTTTATTATGTTGTTGGAAAAAATAGTTACATTTTTTCAACGCTTAACTTAATTTTTTTTCAATTTCGAATTGTATATTGATTCTCTTCGTATATTAGACAATGTTTTATTATTGTCCAATTAAGACCTAACTTATATGGGAAATGATTTTCGATGTGACAATCCAGTGGGCAAAAAACCATCATTGTTTTAAAAACGTTCCAAAAATGTTTTTAGAACGTTTCATGTCTGCCAAATAATGTTCCAAAAACGTTCCATTGCTTTTAAAACGTTTTAGAAACATATAACGTTATTGGGACGTTATTTGGCAGACATGAAACGTTCTAAAAACATTTTTGGAACGTTTTTAAAACAATGATGGTTTTTTGCCCACTGGGAAGCTTGTGCCAAATTTTTACAGTGATGCGACACCTGTTTTTGATTTTAAACATGAAATTACCGTCAAGTAAATCACAATACAATTCTTATTATAAGTTTTACAAATATTACGATTAAATTTACTGTAAAATTTTAGTTTTCAATTATCCGGGAAAATTATTTACATACCGGGAAAAAACCGGGAAAACCCCGGGAATTTTATATTTCTAAATTACTAGACACCCTGATTTAGTTACAATGTTGTTTACTTTATTACTATAATAATTGTAATAAATTATTTTTATTTAAAAACTATAGTAATATAGTTTTTACTTTATCAATAAATTTTGTTAATGATATTAGCTTTTTAAAATTTTTAATGAAAATATAGAAATTAATAAACTTAAAAAATGATTCCTTTGTAATTAGATTTATTAAATTTGTTCAATTAAAAAAATTAACGGTAATAAGCACTTTTTGAAATTTATCTAAAAATTAATGTAAATCAAATTTAATTTAAATTAAAATCTTTTAATCAACTATATTTTTATAAAAAAATTAATTAATTTAAATTTTTAGCTTCTTAAAAATTAATACAATTTACATATATTTATAAACGTAAAATAAAAAATATTTTATCCTTATACAAATTGTAAACAAACGCTATTAATAAATTAAACGCCTTGAAGAAAGTTAAGAAGCCAACATCAGACGAATTAACAAAACAATGCAATCAATGCGAGATCCAGGAGACGACCCGGGATGACGCAGAAGATCCTAAAAAAAAGATTGCGGCGTCCCTGGATCTCTTCGATCTCAGTGAATAGCCCCTCGAATTAAATAATTATTTTTTAAAAATATTTTTTGAGAATAATGAATTGGAATTATTAAAAATACTATTTTTTATGTCTAATATGTTAAGTATTCCATATTTTACTTATGAAATATGCATTAAAACAGTTGGTATTTGCAGTTTTAACCCCTTCACTGTCAGTGGGCTCTATAGAGCCATAAAAATGTCGTGCCCTGTATGTCCATGGGCTCTATAGGGCCATCGGAAAAAAAGACATTTAAATGTTAACGAATCTGGCTAAAAATCCTTACACGGGGGTTTTCGGGGTCGCTGAATCCAAATCCGTTGTCGAAAATTCAAAATTCAAAATGGCGGCTTCAAAATGGCGCCCAAAAAATTTGTAAATTTACGAATCTGTCTGAAAATGCCTTAAAATGCCTACTCGGGGGTTTTCGAGGTCGCTGATTCCAAATCCGTGGTCAAAAATTCAAAAATTTAAAATTGCAGCTTTAAAAATGCGACAAAAAAAATTTTAAATGAACGAATTCGTTAACTTTTCAATTTTTTTGGTCGATATTTTGAAGCCGCCATTTTGAATTTTGACTTTTCGACCACAGATTTTGAATCAGTGACCTTAAAAACATAAAATATGACAATATCATGATTTTAAAAAAAAAAAATTTTTTGAACACTTATGGCACAAAAACTTTATTTTCACTCGCCTGTGAAGGGGTTAATCCCATATAAAAGCATGTGAATTCCGCTCTCGCAATATCATTGAAATAGTTGTATTTAAGCATTTAGAAATTTCATAAACTTTAAACAAGTTTTAAGCAATGTAAAGACAAAAGGTACTAAAACCCGTCGAAAACGGATTCCACAGCTGTATAATGTATATCCATCGTGCTTTCTGGATTAATAAATATATTACAATTTTTTAATTTTATACATAGTTCTTGACTTTTACTGTAAGAGATTTTTCATTTCAATAGAGACTGAAATGTCGAACATCGGATATTACAAGAGGAACTGTACAGAAATCAGTCTGTATTTTGAGCACATTACCTCTTTACGGACATATTCAAGTTAAAGTTGCATTGATAACAAATGCATATTTTGAGGAAGGAGACTTTAGTAAAATTTCATTATTAAAAGAAACTTATTATCATCTCAATTCTTGTATGAAGAAAGACAGTCAAATTCCTTTACAAATTTTTGGAGGTAACATTAGCTTTTTTAAGTGTCTGTAAATTATTAATAATTGATAATGTTTTAAAGATATTATACTTTTATTTATTAAAAACTTATTATTAAAATGTAAAACGTATTTTACAGGTCTCTCGGCACGAGATTTAATTTTACAATTTCGACACAAAGTTCTTTTATTATTTAAACTACTACTTTTAGAAAAAAAATTAGTTTTTTTTCAATCACCGGTGCATCCATTATGCACGACGATATTGACTCTGCTTTCATTATTTCCCGGAATGATAGAAAGTGGTTTAAAGAATTCTACCTACATCAGGTACGTTAATGGAAAACATTTTTTCAGAACAGGATTTATTGATTTTTATTTAATTTAATTTGATTAATTTATTATTTATATTACTTTACTTATTATAACTTATTGTTTTAGAGTTCCAACATCACCTGTTTCAAATGACGAGAACATTTCAGTTGTTGATTCCGATTTGCCAAATTTATATTCTCTAGACCAGAAATCACTAAATAAAGAACAAAATGATGATATAAATTTAGAAAAAGAAATTTCATATTCCAATTATGATGCAAATTTAGAAACACTAGAGCAAGAGTGTAAAGAAGTTTTGAATGATGAGGCGGACAGAAGCAGAAATTCCGAAGAAACACTAGAAAATAAATACATCAATAAGGCTAATTACGAAGAAAATTCGGGGAACTCTTTGACGATAAAAGATGATTTAAATACTGTCTCTTTCGAAGCAGGTGACGGCGATGGTGTTTTATCCAAAAACAGTAATAGTCTTTTATCTGTAAATACATGGATTGAAGAAAGTGTATTGCAGGCGGCATCTATAAATACTCAAAAATGTGGTTTACCTTTGCAAATATTTTCTGAGGTACATTTGCACATTAAACTTTTGTAAAATTATTAAAAAATATTTTTAATGTCAGACATTTTTTTATTTTTAGGGATACCTCTGTTTACCGTATCTCTCATTGCCATACTTAGAATTATTAAGTGATAAAAATGTTCGAGGCTATGTAGTAGGAGCAACAAATGTTCTTTTTAAGCAGAAGAAACAGCTTATCGATGTTTTAATTGATGTAAGTCATATAATCATTAAATATGATTGGAATTTTGATTTTTAATTAGATTGTGACTAGAAATTAATGTTTATGTTTATTCTTAATGTTAATGTTTATGTTCTAAGTTTTACGAATTAAAAAAGGAAATAAGAAGGGAGAATTATTTTTCGTCGCCAAGTTACTCCGTATATTATTAAAACGTTACACAACTAAAAACATGAACATAAATTTTAATAAATTCTTCTTAGATATTGAGACAAATTTAATAAAGATTTTTACAATAATATTTATGATACTAACACTAATCTTGTATTATGTAAGAAAAGAAAAAAGAAGAAAAAAATTTTTTTTAATTTTTAATTTTACCAGGCATTAAAATTTAAAGTAATTTTTTTCAAAAATGCATAACTCTGATACTTTTTAATCGATTTTGTTCATATTTATATGACTAATGATTGTTATACCAACAATTTTAATGTAATAAAAAACAAAACAAAAATTTTCAAAATTTGCCCCAAAAAAAGTCAAAAAAAATTTTGATTTCATTTTTTCAGGCAAAAGCACCGCTTAATTGTTATAAACATTTTGTAAACAAATTTAACCCCCTTGTATTTATTATCATTGTGGAAGATAAACACTAAGTAACAAATAGATTTTTAGTATTTTGTATTTTTTTAAAAATTAATACTACCTACTTTATTTTTTTTATTTATTTTTATAATTCTTAATATTTATTACTGAAACTAATAATATTAGTTATTAATAAGATATATCTAAGTGAAATTTACAGTCGATGTTTTAAATTCGGGCTTTTGCCCGAAAAAATGAAATCAAAATTTTTTTGGGTCAAATTTTGAAATTTTTTTTTGTATTTTATTGCATTAAAATTGTTGGTATAACAATTATTAGTCATCTGAATATGAACAAAATCGATTGAAAAGTCTCAGAGTTATGTAATTTTGAAAAAAAATTACTTTAAACTTTAATGCCCGGTAAAACCCAAAATTTTGAAAATTTAAAAAAAAAAAATTTTCCTTTTTCTTCTCTTACACAACACTACATTTACACCAAATTTCAGAAAAATTGACAGACCCAATGCCAACATTACATTAAATTTATTATATGATTTTATTAAATTAATAAATAATAAAATTTTATTAAATTTAATTACCTACATTAAATTATTACATTAAATTGATATATGTTTAATTTATTATGCAGATAGAAAATGGACGAATAGAAGCCAATGATCCTGAATTAAGGCGTTACTTGCATCTTACAACTGAAGATTTGAGATTTATTGATTACGTTATTCGATGTGTAGTCGAGCCAAGAAAGGAGAATATTCTGGATAGTTCCACATATCACGGTGGGGAAGAATGGATAAGGCTTCAATTCAAAATGTATTTGCTTCATTTATTGCGGACATCAATGCAATATGATACTCGTGAAACGGATCACTTCAATACCTTATTTATATCAGCTTGGCGTACCACGAATAACTATAAGAAATGGAAAGACTTTAATTCTACTGAAATAACTAGCATAGAACCAAGGCATCCATTTGTTGGGCAGTTATCAGTTCAGGATATGAAATTACGTTTGACACAGTAAGTTTAAAATCAAAATTCGATATTTCGGTTAGTTTTAAAGTCTCCAGTAATTTTTTTTTTTTGCAAAAAATTCTGGAAAAGAGAAGGAATCCAAATATCATAGTTACAAAAAAATCAAAGGGTTGCTTATACCCGAAAAAATAAAATTTTTTTCTTTTAATATTGCACTTTGAATTGTTAAGAAATCAATCAAGTTTCACAAAAATTGAAAGACCCATTTTTTTTTTTAATTATAATTTGAAATTAAAAATTTTTGAATTTTTAGAAAATAAAGGAAAAAATTTTCTGTTTCCGAATTTCTTTAATTGTAAAATTATTCGAAAACAGCAATAACTTCTTTTTTAAATAAATAATAATTATTTTTTTTCCATAGGAGTTAAGATTTTCAAAAATTCTTTTTTAAATAAATAATTATTATTTTTCCATAGAAATTGTTTAAAATATAGAACAATATTTTGGAGTAATATTTAAAAGTAGTATACACATTTTAAAAATCAAGTTTGGATAGGAGAATATCGAAATAATAATTAAAAAATTCTTTTTAAGTTTTATAAATCAAAAGACCTATTTTAATTTTTTTTTCCAGTTCCATGCAAAACACAGAAAGTGGACGAAAATTGAACCAAGCAATGTTAACAACAGGAAAAGCTGTAGGCAAGTGTTAATTTGATAATAATAATTTTTTTGTATTTCCTCTTAGTCTAAAAAGATATATAATTTTATTAAATTATTGTATGACATTTGTTAAAGGTGGAGCTTTGTCGCAAGCGAAAGGTGCATTTTCAACGTGGTGGAATACTTTAACCGCAGTCCAACCTATCAATGTTGTCAGAGATAATACTCTCCCCGAAGAAGAAAGAGAACAACATGCCTTTAAAGTGGAAACTGATGAAACGATTTTAAATAAAGACTTTCTGAGAGAGTCTATAAATTATGAGAAAATAATTAAACCAAATTAACAATCTTATAACTATTATTATTTAAATAACTAAAATAACAATGTCAAACACTGAAAAGACCAAACTCTCTAAATTATATAATTCTTTAGATTAAATATGGAAGTTGCTTAAATTTAGAAAGTTAATTTTAAGAATTTGAGGATAGAGATTTTACAGAATAAAAAGTTGTAAAATCCAAAAACAGATATTCAAGTTTTAAATAAATTTAAAAATATTCTAAAAATAACTTTTGGACAGACAAAAATAATGTGAATTATCTTTAAAGAAACTAAATTTTATGTCCATCCGTTTATTTCTCAAGTCAAGTCAATTTATTACTCAACCAGATCTTTTGATTAAAAATGGATGGAATAATAATTGACAAACAATAAATTAATTGCAATATTATTATTTTTTATTATAATCGTAAAACCGTTTTAATATTAAACTAAATAAGCGGTCTAATTTTCATACATTCAATGATTGAACTGTAAAAGAATATTCTATTATATACAGAAATTTTGAAAATTATAAAAGCACATGATTTAAAGCATTAGCGTTTAGTACAATAATTTTTATGAGTACAATTGTAAGTTTAATAACTAAACTTAAAATTAGAAAGTAATTATTACTTTTTAAAGCGTGTAAAAAGTTACTAAAATGATTGTAATTTTTCTTTTTATTTTTAGTCGGTTATTTCAGATTTTTTTTAAATACCAAACCAACATTTGTTCGTTATTGCTGTCTAATATTTGTTTTTAAATACCAAGTCTGTGATTATTTTCTGACTGCAAATATATGTTTATGCAAATTATAAACTTTTATTTATTTCTTCATTTCTTCCAAAGAAAATGGATGGCTTCCAACAGGAAATATCTATTTCCCCTTTTGTCCCCTTTTTTCAATTTTGTCACCATTTTATTAATTAACATTCAAATAATTAAAATATTATTATTAATAGTTTTTTCTAGAAAAACAAAAATTCTAATACAAAACCTTCAATTTTTTCCATTTCTGACGATAATTTCTTTTTAAATAACTTACTTCTTGAAGAACTATTATAAAATTATTACTTAGAGCTTATTTACATTTACATTTTTTAATATAAATATTTAATTAATTATTAAAAATAATGAATTTATCAAGGAATTTTAGTTAAAAACACTAAAAAATTTGAATTTTGGAGAAGTTTCAAATGATTGCAAAAATTCAATTATTTTCAAAAGTAATAAAATTCTTCTCTGAAATTCAATTATTTTCAAAAATTTTAATAAAATAAAATAACATAATATAATAATTATAATAAATAAAATAAAATTATTTTCATAAATAATAAAACTCATCACAAAATTCAATTATTTTTCGTACAATTTTAATCAAATACCTCGAAAAATGTAATTATCTTTAAAAATTTTATTAAAATTCGTCGAAAGAATTTAATTATTTAAACATTTGTTGATTAAATTCTTTTTATGAGAATTCAATATAAATTATTTATTTTTGCGTATTTAAAGAATTGAATTCTTATAGAATTTTCTAATAGAAATTGATTTAAAAGTGATTTTAGTTTAAATTTTACATAATAATTGAATATTAAAAGCATTATGGTGTGAATTTTTAGAAATATTTGAATTTTGAAAAGGTTTCAAATTGAAATCTTTGAAATTCTAAATTTTTCATATTTTTAACTAACAATTCTGTAGAATTAATTTTTTTCAAACAGTTCAATTAAATTTTTTTATTAAAATTATTTCAAGTTTTTATTTTTTAAATATTTAATTGAAAAATTTCCGAATAATGGAAATTTTGTAAAATTTAATTGTAAACAAATACATTTCGAAATTCTCAAATAATTTTTCTTTAAATTATAATAAATAATTGATTTAAAGAAGAATTTTAGTTAAACATTATAGAAAATAATAATTGAATTGAATTGAATTGAAATGATGAAAATAATTTTAAAGAAGTTACAGTAACAATATTCTAATAGGTATAATATAAAATAAAGAATGGTTTTTGGTTTTTAAAATCGGTTCAGTAGATTTCGAGAAAAGTGTCTTCCCGTTTTCAAAAATGTGTTTTCGAGAAAAACGCGTTTAAATTATTACGTAATTTACCATAGTGAGTTAAGAAACGGTCATAAAAATTGATATAACTTTTTTTGTTTGCATATTTTTTCAAAAATGTTTTGGGACTGTAATTTTATGATACAACGGAACATTTTAAATAAAAAAAAAGAAAAATTATTTTTTTTTAATTCTTGACCAGAAAGTCCCCTTAATTTCTAAATACCAAAATTTTGTATAAAAATTATTATTATGAAATACAAGGTTGCCACAGGTCAGGGAATTCAGGGAAAATTTAGAGATTTTTAGTATAAGTACAGGAAAAAATTAAATTTTTAGAATTCATATGAGAATTCTGAATTTTGGTGACTTTTTTGTTTGCCTCATAAACTTTAAAATTGACAAGTATTCTAATACAAACACTTCAATTTTTTCTATTTCTAACAATAATTTCTTTTTAAATAACTTAATTCTTCAAGAAATATCAAATAATTATTACTGACAAATTATTTAATGAATAATTGTAATTAAACAATTCAAATTTAATTGAGTTTTAAAAGAGTTGCGTTTACAATTTTCATAAATAGATGAACTTCAAAGGTTTCAATTTGAAATTTGAGAAAATTTCAATTTTTAATAAATTTAATTAGAAATTTTAAAGAGCTGAGATTTTTAAAAAATTTTAATAATTCAAATTCTTCTGAAATTATTTTCAAAAATTTTCCACAATTCAATCATTTTTAATATTTACTATTTTAATAAAATTTTCCAAAAGAAGACAATTATTTGAAAAAAATGGTTGATAAAATTTTAAGCAAACCTTTAATTATTTTCATAAATAATAAAAAGTTCACAGAAATTCAATTATTTTCAATTTTTTATAAATGTCTTTGCAATAATTCAATTATTTTCATAAATAATAAAACTTATCTCAGAATTTTAATTATTTTTAATACAATTTTAATTGAATTCTTTAAAAAATGTAATTATTCTTAAAAATTTGAATTTTTTATTTTTTCATTGTTTTAAATTTTTTTTTCAATTATTCTTAAAAATGTTATTAAAATTGATAGAAAGAATTCAATTATTTAAAAGTTTGTTGATAAAATTCTTTATGAGAATTCAATTTTGAGAAACATTTAATTATTTAATAAATTATTTATTTTTGTACTTAAATAATTGAATTCTCATGAAATTTTCTAATGAAAATTGATTTAAAAGTGAATTTCAGTTAAAATTTTTGATAACGTAAAAGTAGTAGTGAAATTTAGTAAGACATTTCTAAAATTCTTGAAAACTTTTTGCTGACTAAGAGGTAGGTGTGATATACAGATTATCTTCAAAGACGCATACCTCAGTTTATTCTTTGTAGATACAGTTATGATTTATATAATTTTTCCTTATTCATATTTATTGTAAAAAGTTGACGAAATATGTATAAAAGTGATTTATTGACAGTTTTTTAGAATGAACATGGAATTGTTAATCATTTCATAAAAATCTCAGTAATTATTAAATTCAAAAAAACAATTAGTGTAAATATTTTTTAAAAAATGTGATTTTTATGTAAAAAAAAAAGTTGTGTTTATCTATGAAAAAAGAAAATAGATAAGAAAAAAATTGCTAATTAAAATGCAAATCATTAAAAGAGTGATATTTTTACTTTTTCTTTCTCTTACGTGTATTTGGTGTCGTTGCATTCAACAAGTTCCGTTTAAGAACAATTTAGTAGTTAATGATAGAAATGAAATCGAAAATAAAAATATAAAAACATCTCAAATTGTGCAAAATTTGAACATAGAAAAAGGGATTCTCAGCAGTAAAACAGTTGATAATATGTTAGAAAAAGTATTATTAGAAATCATGACCGGCAATTTGACTAAAAGTGACATTGAATTATTGAAAAGTTTAAACTACAGTTCAAAAGAAATTTATGATTTTCGAAAGCAGAAAAATGGAAGAAAAATGTATAGAAGGCAAAAAAGTAAAATACTTAATTTAAATAGAATACACAATTTAAATGAGACATTATTTCTTCTAACAAAAAGCTCATCAGTAGATTCCAGATTTAACGACAGTAAAGAAAGTGAATTTGAAGAATATAATAAACAAGCTGTTTATGATTATGAAAATATGAATGCAGAATTCGACATTGAAGAATACGAAAAAGAAAAATCATCTTTAAATGAAGTAATAAAAACACTGCATTTATCGAAACGTAAATAAAATTATGATAAAAAACTCTTGGAATGATATTAGTTTATCTCTCATCTCGCATGAATTAAGTAAAGAAAATTATTTTCGAGAGGTTTTATTTAAGCTATGGACATTGATCGACATGAACTTTAAAAGTCAAATTCAAAATATATTAAATAATATAAGAAACTTAAGTTGGATGGACAAAATTACTCAGAAAGCAACAAACTCAAAGGAAGTTGATGAGAAATATTACAAGACTAACAACGATCAAAGGATCATTAAAATCATTTGTCATAAAAATGAAGGTCACTATTTCAAAATAATGGCTAAGGAAGCTAGTAATAATTTTTGGAAGAAGAAAATGTTGCTTGACTTTTGTCAATTTCAAAATACTATCATCAGCTCAGAAGAAGTAAGTAGTAATATATTATTTCATTCTTGTCAAACTTAAGGAATATTACCTAACTATATATTCTTGTAAATTTAGAAACTTCATTAATCTCAATGAAAATTATTTGACGCAGATGAATTTTTTTATCACAAAAATTTATTACAGTATCTAAAATATGTTGAAAATGTATTTTCATAAAATTTCGCAAAAGAATTCAATTATTTAAAAAAAATTTATAAAATTCATCCAAAATTCAATTATTTTTATAAATTTTATAATTTCCACAGGAATTCAATTAATTTAGAAAAGCTTTTTCAAAACAATTTCGAAAAAAACAATTAATTAACCAAATTTTTATGCAATTCTTCACAATAATTCAATTACTTTCACTAATAATAACATATTTCATGAAAATAAAATTATTTAAAAAGATTTTTGATAAACATTCTAAGTAAGAATTCCATTATTTTCATAATTAATAATACTCATCGAAGAATTTCAATACTATCTTCAATTAGCTAATCGAAAAATTCAATTATTTTCACAAATAAAGGTTTCCATAAGAATTCACTTATTTAAAGTAAAATTTCCATAATATTTATTATAGGGGAGACTGGGGCGAAAGGTTAAATTTTGCATAAATTATTTTTTTTAGACAATATAATCCGCTTAGATGCAAATATTTATATATCAATATTGTAGGGCAACTTGTCCTCTACAACTTTCAATAAAAAAGTTTCTGATATTTTTCCATAAAACACATGTTTTGTCCTTTTTTGAAAATTTTTTTTTTTTAACTTTTCGCCCCATGCTGGGGCGAAAAGTTAAATGGCTGGGTACTTAAACTTTGGAATATTTTAGCTGGTACTTTAACCTTGCGAAAATTGAAATATTTTCCCATTTTGCATTTTTTCGCAAATGTTATTCGCAATTGTTTTTTTTAAAGATTGAAATTGTTGCTTTTTGAAAAGAAATATAGTATTGGTCAAATTATAATTTAATTGAAAGTTGCAATTTTGTTTCAAATTGAAATTATTTAGAGTTACAATTTAATTCTAATTATTGGAATAATTTAAAGTCAAGTTAAATGTTAAATTCTATTTTTAGCCTACTAAAACTATTTTCTGATAGGTGTAGTAGATAAGTTAAAGTATACGTAAACAAGTAATTTAGTTAATAAAAGATATGTGTTTGTTTAACAAAAGCTTTAGAACAGTTATAAAGTTAATAAATTTAAATTTCAAAAAAAAAAATTTTTTTGATTATTTTACTTGAACGGCCTTGTTTTTTGACAGAGTACTTGCCTAATGTCAAATAAATCATTTTTAAACAAATAAACCCAAAAAAACGAAAAATGTAGAAAATATGATTATTTCGCACGCTTTGCTCGGATAAACACACGAGATGGGCAAAGCATATTAAAGAAACCGCTGCCAAGTTGTATATTTTTTTGTATAATTTTGGTGCTCATTTCATGAACACTTTACTTCCTCATAGAGATAAAAATAATAGAAATATATGAATAACTTTTTATAAATATGGTAAAAGTAATTGAATCTTGGGTCAAGCAATGTATTTTTAAATACTCTACAATATAGTTATAATAGTTTAATAGTTAAACAAAAATTTTCAAACAAAAAAGTTGAGAAAATGTCATTTTCCACAATTTTTGGTTTTTAAAATACCAATAATTTCGAAATTTATTATCGAATTAGGTTCAAAAATAGGTCAATCGAAGCGTCTACAAGTCGGTACCGATAATTTTAAGATTACTTCTACATTTTTCAACAAAATTTTCAAAAAAGTCTTATTTTCCAAAATTTTGAATTTTTAAAAGTTTAATATCTCCGGTTAATATGGACGAAAAATGTTGAATTAGGGCTCAAAAGATGCGTCTAAAAAAACTCTACAAAATTATGGAAAAACATTTATAGGTGTCCTAACATTTTTTTAAAGTTATGTGCAAAAAACGTTTTTCTGCAAAATTAAAAATCCAAAAAAAATTTAGTTAAACTTTATTAATCTATCTCAAAGTACTCTCATTTTATGTCCGCAGGTAAGATCTACAATTAAAAAAAAATTCAACCCAAAAGCTCTTCATGATTTCGAGATATTTATGAAAATGTGATGTTTACACACACACACACACATACGGAATGACATTTTTTAAAAATGTCATTTTTTAACTCCTGAGGTCAAATAACATAAAGATTTGTCAAAAAATCGAACTCGAAAAATTTCGGTATTACAATACTTCCTCTATGAGGAAGTAATATTGAATTTTTCTTGAACGTAACTACGCATCATAGCACCGGTTTTCCTCCCGCAAAGCTTCATTTTAATAAGAAATAATATGATCAGATTTGTGACATAATTCAATTTCCGAAGGAGAAAAATTCAAGCAATGAGTCCAAAATTATATTAACACGTGAACGTATAAATCGCAATTTCAATAAACGACTATATACGCACTCAAAAATCATCATCCAAAGTACACTATCGTCCACGAGTATCAGGACGATTACACGCGACTCTATGAAAAAACATGCCATCTCTTTTTCAATCATATCTCGTAAATAAAAGGAGATACAAATAAAACTTAAATACGGTTCGAAAGCTGATTAAATTTTGCGTAAAATAAGCTGTCTTTGAAGTCATTTCGTTAACTATTTTTTAAGTTGTAGAGTGAGAAAGAAATAAAAAAAATTATCAAATTTTCTTATTTTTGTCTCTTGACTTCAATTCTTTCAAAAATCTAGAAAAATTTAGATAAAATTTTTCTAAAAACGCAGAAATCTTCGTTAGAATTTTAACTTTAAAATAAGCCTTCGAAAATTGAAAAAGATTAATCCGTCTTCGATATATATCATTAAAAATGTGAATCAAATTATTTTTAAAAATTCATGTCTGCCATTTTGGATCCGCCATTTTGAATTTTTGAAAACAAACTCCAGGATCGTAATCAGCGATCTCAAAAAGCCCTGAGTAACAAAGTTCAAGCAATTAAAATTATTTTTATAAATTTATGTCCACCATATTAGACACACTATTTTTAATTTTTGAAAACAAACTCCAGGATCGTAATCAGCAATCTCAAAAACCCCCAGTGGCGGATCCAGACAAGGTTTTTGGAGGGGCCATCCATTCAAAAAAAATAAATCAAAATAATGTTATCTCTTTCTATCTCATAGAAATATTTTACTCTTGGGGGGGGGGGCCAAGTACCCGTGGCCCCCCTGGATCCGCCACTGAAAACCCCTGATTAACAAAGTTCAAGCAATTAAAATTATTTTTATAAATTTATGTCCACCATATTACATACGCCATTTTGAATTTTGAACATATAGCGGTATATAAGTAAAGGTTTAAACCAGAAACCATTTAAAGTTCATTCACTATTGAAAATAATTTTGCAGAGAAACCACCCCAGTAAGAAACGAAAAATTGAAAAGGATTGAAATAATTCAAACTCTGTATGGTGTAGTAGAAATTATCCAATACTTTTGAATGCCATTTCTGTCCAATACTTTTCTATACCATGATAGGACCACGTTTCGTCTAAAAATGAATGCTATTCAATTCTTTTTGTAATTTTTAACAAAGACAAAATTTTTTTCTGAATGCTTTCCAATCCCATCCGAAATTATTACAGCCTGTCATTATATCACTTTTCAATTTTTCATTGGAACCGCGTTTCTGCATGCATTCAAGCAATCTTCTGGATTTTTGTAATTTATAAGATACATACAGTGGCAGATTTTGTAAAAAGTGTTTGTGTTCAAAGAAAAACTTGCTGAAAAATTGATTGTTTACCAATTTTACGTCATTTAAACGAGTCAGGGCCGTTATTCTGTTAGACAATAAATCATAACCTAAAAATTATTTAGGGGAACTTAGGGAACGGGCTAGAAATGAAAATTAAAATCTGTTTTTTCTCAAAAACTTGCCACCTTCAAATTTTTCTCACGTTTTTCAAAACTGTACGCATTGTTGCCAAATTTCTCATTTATGTACAGCGTTGTCAAATTTTTCATTTTAATCTCTTTGAACACTTTTTTCCATATCTTTTATTAGTCAGTTACCTAGCCACATTTGAGAGAGCAAGTCGTTATTTGTAAGCTCTACTCAATTTTTTAACTCACACTTTAAACTCATTTTATTCATTATCCACTATTTAAAAATAAATTTTAATAAATTAACGTTTAAGTGAATTGTGTCTATTAATTCCTTTCCTTAAACCAGTAGATTGAATTGTTTACGAAATTGATCGTTAATTCGTTAACAATAAGTCTTGGAATAATTTTAACGTGCATGATAAATGTATATTCGGACTTACAACCTGAAGAAGGGCTAACTTTATTTAATATAGAAAACAAGTAGCTATCGCGTTAAAACCAAATACATTTTTCAGGTAAATCGAAACAGTAGTTATTTCAGCTAAATAAAAAATTTTAAAAATAAATACGGCCTTACATCTTGAAGCTTATATCACCCCCAACAAGTTCTAAGTATTTTCCGTTTGTCAATTAGCAGCAGTATATATACAAAAATATTTCCTATTGCATAAAAAATTGACAATCAAAGAAGACATTTTTTCATTTTGCAAACTTTAATAAAAATAGTAGACTGTTTTTATTTACCCCTAAAAACTGGAAATTCGGGGTAAATAGAAACAGCAGAAATTTCAATAATATTTCTTATATTATAAATGAGAAAATTATTTCTATCATACTACAACACTATTTTCAGCATTATATATGAAAATGAGAGAGAATAGAAGAGAAAAAGAGAGAACAAACCTTTATTTGTGTCCCAGTAAACAAAAACTAATTGAAATAAATTAAAAAGAATTCACAAAGAGTTTCAGTGAATCCCGCTTTGTGACAAATACGAATTGGAGCTATGTTGCAATTTTCCTGAATTCGTCAAACTGTATTGAACTTCCAAACCTTCTATTCATACTAATTGAATGGACAAGTTTAGGGGCCTTTAATTTTTTTTAATTCGTCAGCACGAATTCA